CACAGCGATTTATAATGGTTCGACTTTCTCAACCAAAAGTCTACGTCCACTACCTTAGCTTTCCACACTAATGATTTTTCACAAATTCACTAATTTATCTTTCTTTTGAGGACAAAGAATAACCTTACAAATCTCTCAACAATTATACTCTAAATTCTTGAAAACACTCTCTCCCAAAGAGAACAATATAAATTTCACAAACTTACAGAAAAACCTCACAAGTCAATGTGTTTGCACAATTCTAGAACAAGAAATGAACACTCAAAGATGATTACAAATTAGCATAATATGTGTTCTTGAAAGCAAAATGAATATTGAAGGAAAATTGGCTTGAAATGCACAAACTTGATGTTTAATGCTTTCTCTCTTGTTTCTCAATGAATTCTTCTTGATCAATGGCTTCAGAACTTGTTTAAATACACCTTGGATTGATTCTAGCTGTTGTGAATCATTTGGGTGATGTTAGAGCCATTGTAGTGTGAAAACACTCTTGAAAAAGTCTGTTGGGAGCGTAGGGTATTAGTACCTCTTCATTGGGTATCGGTACCTGCAGTGTAAAATTCAAATATTTCGATCGTTATATGGATAGGAGTATCGGTACCCATAAGGGGGTATCGGTACCCATAGGGCATTCTATTATTCTCCGAGCCAAATCTTGCATAGGGATATCGATACCCTAGGAGGGGTATCGGTACCCTCTGGACAATCTATTTTTCTCGAATCCCTTATACCTAAAAAATTATTTTTGGCTCAATTAAGGCTCGAAATACTTTGTAAAATTTGTTTCAAAAATATTTTAAGATTAAAACACAATTTTAAACTTAAGTAAGGACTGAAATTTACCTTTGAAAAACTTGGAGTAATATTTTGATATTTGAATAATTTAATCGAATATACTTTAAAAATGATTACAAAATCTTAAAATCAAATAGCATTTAATTTGTTATATCAAAACATCAAAATATTTTCAACAATTATTAAATATTTTAATTTAAAAACTAAGATATAATTAAATTTTAAAAGAAATTAAACTATTTAATTAAATATTTATTAAATATTTCAATTTAAGAATAAAAGATAACATTTATTTTAAAATAATAATAATAATAAAATTCTGCTGTTATTCCTTAGATTATGCACATATTATATATTTAGTTTTTATTCTCTAATTTTCATCATTTTAAACTCTTATTTTTATTCTCTAATTTTAATCATTTTAAAATCTTGTAATTTAGTTATATTATTTATGTACAATTTAATCAGGATTGAAATTTAAATTTTTTTTTAAAAAAAAATTAATCATGACTAAATTTATAAAATTTGAAGTATAAATTATAATTTAAGAAGACGATGTAAATTCAAACCCTGTATATGTAATTGATAAAACATCTAATATATATACCTCGAAGCTCTTGCAAAATTTTGAATCTGAAAATGAAAGCTCTGCGCGGGAGACACCGTTTGAGACAGTTGCCTTCCCTCAACGAACTAAAAACGAACCCAAACTCGTACCCATCGAAGAAAACATTCACTCAGGGAAACCACAATTCCAAAAACTACGACAAAACCAGACCAGTTGGTGATTCCGACATAAAGCAATGGAATATGGCCATCTCTAACCACATGCGCAACTCCCAGCTGGACGCAGCTCTTCATGTATTTAGCTTGATGCTGCGTTGAAGCTCGGTTTCTTACAATGCCATGATATCCGGTTATTTGATGAATGGTAGGTTTGACCTCGCTAGGAACTTGTTTGATGAAATGCCTGAGAGGGATCTCGTTTCTTGGAATGTTATGATTAGTGGGTGTGTAAGGAGCAATAACCTTGCTGCTGCAAGGGAATTGTTTGAGAAAATGCCTGATAAGGATATTGTTTCGTGGAACTCTATGTTGTCTGGGTATGCGCAGAATGGTTGCATTGATGAGGCCAGAAAGATTTTTGATAGGATGCCTTATAAGAATTTGATATCGTGGAATGCTTTGCTTGCGACTTATGTGCAGAATGGGAGGATGGAAGAGGCTTGTAGGTTGTTTGAATCTAAGTCAGGTTGGGATTTGGTTTCTTCGAATTGTTTGATGGGTGGGTTTGTTAAAAAGAAGATGTTGGTGGATGCTAGAAGGGTTTTCGATATGATTCCTTTCAGAGATAAAATATCTTGGAATACTATAATTACAGGTTATGCGCAAAATGGTGTGATTGAAGAAGCTAGGAGATTGTTTAATGAGTCTCCCATTCGAGATGTATTTATGTGGACACCTATGGTGTCTGGTTATGTGCAAAATGGACTGGTTGATGAAGCGAGGGAAATTTTCGAAGAAATGCCTCGAAAGAATGCTGTTTCATGGAATGCAATGATTGCAGGGAATGTGCAATGTAAGAGAATGGACAAGGCTAGGAAACTGTTTGAGGAAATGCCATGTCGAGATGTAACAACATGGAATACAATGATCACCGGATATGCTCAGACTGGTGAGATAGCTTATGCTAGGGACTTTGATCGAATGCCTCGACATGATACTGTCTCTTGGGCAGCCATGATTGCCGGCTATGCTCAAAATGGTTATAGTGAAGAGGCTCTACGGCTTTTTGTAGAGATGAAAAGAGATGGAGAAAGGTTGAATGGGGCTTCATTTGCGTATGCCTTGAGCACATGTGCTCATATTGCTGCTTTAGAATTGGGGAAGCAGTTGCATGGGCAGCTGGTTAAGGCAGGATATGAAAATGGGTCGTTTGTGGGAAATGCCCTGCTTTTAATGTACTGTAAGTGTGGAGGCATAGAAGAAGCTTGCAGTACATTTGAAGAGATAATGGAGAAGGACATTGTCTCGTGGAATACCATGATTGCTGGTTATGCAAGACATGGATTTGGTATATATAGGCCCTGAAGTTTTTTAAGTCAATGAAGGCAGCTGGTGTTAAACCAAATGATACCACTATGTAATTATTAATTAAATATAAAATTTAACTTGCATTAAAAATACACAGGCCAATTGTTAGTAGTATCAAATACACCTCCTTGAAAACATATTCCAGACACTCGAGATATGGTGTCAACCAAACACCAAAGAGAGCACAATACAAAAAAAAAAATCCCATTCCCTCCCCTTCTGGTTAGACTTCAGCTTTGGAGTGTATGAGTGTTAATATGGCTTCCTCAGAAATGGAAGGAATGTTTTAATATGATGCAATCGAATTTTGCAATTTCCAATTGTAACCTTCTTAGATGTACTAGTCTAGGAGAGGCAATCTGGAAAACTATTTAAATGTGTAATATTTTCTTTTACATCATGTATATAGTTCATAGTTTTTTGCTTGTATTGTTTATTGTTTCAGGTTGGAGTACTTTCCGCTTGTAGTCATGCTGGCTTAGTGGATAGGGGCATGGAATATTTCTACTCGATGAGCCAAGATTATGGTATAACAGCAAATTCGTGACACTATACTTGCATGGTAGATCTTCTTGGCCGAGCTGGTCGATTGAATGAGGCCCAAAAGCTGATCAGAAACATGCCCTTTGAACCAGATGCAGCAACATGGGGTGCTTTACTTGGTGCAAGCAGAATTCATGGCAATACCAAATTATCTGAAACGGCTGCTGAGTTGATTTTTGAAATGGAACCTGAAAATTCAGGAATGTATGTTCTTCTCTCAAATTTATATGCGGCTTCGGGTAGATGGGCTGATGTTAGTAAGATGAGATTGAAAATGAGGAATACCGCTGTGAAGAAAGTGCCAGGGTATAGTTGGCTTGAGGTGCAGAACAAGATCCATACGTTCTCGGTCGGAGACTCATGCCACCCGGATAGGGATAAGATCTATGCTTATTTAGAAGAATTGTATCTTAAAATGAAGCGGTAGGGCTATGTCTTCTCTACAAATTTGATTCTACATGATGTAAACGAGGAAGAGAAGGAACAGATGCTCAAGTATCACAGTGAAAAATTAGCTGTGGCGTATGGCATTCTCTCTATACCTGCTGGTCGACCAATCCGTGTGATAAAAAACTTGTGCGTTTGTGAAGACTGCCACAATGCCATCAAATACATATCAAAGATTGCGGACCGGTTGATTATCTTGAGGGATTCGAACTGTTTTCACCATTTCAGGGAGGGTTCATGTTCCTGTGGGGATTATTGGTGAGAGTTTATCAGAGCTGTTTTAAGTGAAACAGCTAATGATTGATACCACCAATGTGCTGCATGTGGAAAGAGCCTACTTCCTTGAGGTCTTCATCCTAAGATATCTCTGTATTTTTGTTGATATATGGTTGATTCTTTGGACCGACTTTGGCCCATGATCAATAATGACAAATTAAGCGAACTTCTAGCATTTTCCCATGATACTATGTAGTGCATTTGATCTGTGTATATATCAAGGAAATGTCCGTGTAATGTAATTGGCTTGTGGGACAGGCATCAGCTCCTGACTCGCTTTACATCTGTATTAGTTTGGAAACCAACCAATCGATGACAGAAAAGAAACTTTCTCGTGTAATTGGTTTCTGATTGTGTAATATGAGACCGGGATTATCCGCACCTAATCCTTGATCTTCCATTTCTTGTCACAGGAAGGCTGTCACCGTGCTGGTTGCAATCGGACATTTCTCGATTTCTCGATCTTATACGGAGTTGTGAGAAGAAGCAATGGAAAGTCCATCAAAATTCTTTAGTTTTCCTTACCAAAACGATTTTGAGCTGCCCCATTCCTTCGGGAAAGAAGATATAGACAAGTGCAAACTGATCAGGTCAGTTGACCAGCATAGATTAAAAGTGTGCAAAGGTATTCATTATCATTATCAATGCAATACTTTATAATGTCTCAAGCCTATCTGTTCCCTTCTTGTTTAATCCGACTATCGCAGCATACTTAACCAAATTAAACCCACGATTCCAACAGGGAGAAAAGATCAGATCCACGCGTGAGCTAAAGATGCCCATAAATCAAATCAAGCCTGTGCTTAGGGTACGTGTCTATAAATTACAGCACAGAAGCCATAACATTACACAACAGTATGTAGTGTTCTCTTTTTCATTATGAGACAAAATACAACTCTTTCTTCCTCAAATGTGAAGCTACATGACAGCCGGACTCTTCTCATGCGTTACCCGATACAATAGTTCTACCATTAGCTTCTGTCCGTGAGTAAAACGAGAAAAAAAATGGGACAAATCACTATGAATTCCCCTCTTCCCAATAATGAGGGGGGAAATGGGTAAGTTTTGATCACGCATTAATAGCTGCAACCTCCCGAGACAAGGCATCCACTGTCTCATAATCGGCTTCAGCAATTGGTTCCTCCTGCTGCAACAGAAATATATATGTGCATAAATAAGATACATACACAAGGTTCACTAGGTTCCACAACAGAATGTTGTTGGTTGCAAGAGAGAATAGTCTACCGTTGATTCATTATTTTCTTTCACAACAACACACTTAGAGGCGCTAATGCTATCACTTTTCAACAGGCTACGAGCACTACTGTTTGCTTTGCTAGGGCTATTTTCCCCTACTGCATTTGTGTTCTCTGAACCGTCTGAGAACCGGGACTTCGAAACTGTATCATTATTTTCAACAATATGCTCATCCTTGGGAGCAGGAACTCGCTCTCTGAAAAGAAAATAACACAGTTGATCAAGCTAATTTAAACTCGACACATACACTAGGCAAAATTGAGGTAAATTCCACCCAATCTAAAGTACTACTGTAGCTCCTGGGTTAAGGAGTAATATGATTCCTTAAACTTTATGAAGCATACCGAGGCAAAGAAGCATGCTGTCTCTGAAGTGGAGTACTTCTTTCGCCTTTACCATAATGTTCCTCCAGATGTGCAAATTGCCGCTTGAATCGATCAACACCACTATTGAATTGAAAAAGAAAAGAAAATATTAATTGCTATCTGGCAGCAAATATTTTCAAACAGACTTTCCATATCTTTTTTATGCCCTTCAACCGATTTGTACACTAATTAGGTTCAAACTATTGGGTAACACTAGCTTATTCGTTAGATTCCTGAAACACTATAAAATTCCTTCCTAAATTTCCTTCCATTCTTGTGTAACTACAAAAATTCCTTCACGGGTCAAGTGCTGATGAAACTAAACCAAAACAAAGAACGTTCTTTCCAAGGGAAAAATCCATACATTTAAATAGTAAATCATTTCAAAGACGACATGAAATTAAAGAACTTTCAATTATCCAAGAAATTATGAAAGACTTTAGACCTGAATTCCGTATCGGTAAGCACATCATAGGTCCCATTTATATGTGAAAACTTAAACCAAGTAATAAAATATTAAGTGTTTTCTAACCTTGGGTACATGAAGCTGGTTTGCTCCCCACCCTGAATATACTCTTGCAGCATCTGTGGATGATACTCTAATATCTGTTCACTCAAAGTAAGAAGTTGATTAGGCTCAATGATAGATAAAAGCCACATAAAAACCATAGCCACACATGAAAAGTACCTCTCGGTAAATCAGCTCTCTTACATCATCTTTTGCCAGTTTCCTCCTCTCAAACTCAAATTCTAGTTTCGAAATCGGTTTGGTGGTTGGTTCATGATCCACATTGGCCAAACCATAAAAATAAGGATCAGCTAATGCCTGCAAGCATAGTGCATTCGCATTAAGGATATCAGAAGCTTGTAAGTCAAGATCTAACTTGCTCAATAATCATTAATACTTGATTTGGTGTCAGTGGTGAGAGGATTTGTCATATCCTTGATGAAGTGATGCCAACTGAACTCTAGATCAAAGAAGTAGCTCTCAAGATCATCCCTTCATTCAATTTTATAGGATTTATACTGTTAATCCTTTTCTGAATGCACACACTCCCAAATTGGTTTCAGGGTTATCTCATGTAAGCATACTTCCCTTTTTTTTAATTATACTTCCTTCCACTTATTCATGCTTTCCGGGGAGGGGGGGGATTCAAATCTAAGAGATTGCAATCTTACTTCTTCAGCTGTGGGGCGATCTTTCGGATCAAATGCAAGTAGGCGCTGAAGTAAGCTAAGAGCCAGGGGATCTGCATTGGGGAACTTTTTTGAGAAAGGAACCGGTTGCTTTCTGCGCATGTTACTAAGGTACCGCCTTGCCTTTTCATTCCTAATCTGCCAGGTCATAATAAATTAAGTATAGAACCTCAAAGACTATGAGGAAAAAAGGGAAGAGTGTCAAATACAAAATAAAGCAGAATATTAAGAAACAAAATAATCAACCTTTGATATGGATTCAGCAGAAGGTGAACCAAGCAGATCAGTCATGAGATCCAATTGGTGTACCACATTTCTCCCAGGAAAGAGTGGTTTTCCTATAAGCATCTCAGCAAATATGCATCCTATGCTCCAGACATCAATTGCAGGAGTGTACTGCAGAAGAACGAAAGACTCAGAAATTCCAATTATAGCCTAATAAAAAAAATTATATGAATACTATACATCAAAGGCCAATGAAATTTTGGATCTCATGTCCAAAAGATATAAATATAAGTAGTGATCCACCCCTTCCTCACCAAGACTTGCAACAACAACAAAATGATGAAGACACCTGATAGTGCACTAATAACATCAAAAGTGAGTAAATATTCATGATAACAGACATGGCATAAAACTAGATCCTTGAATACTCTGGAAAGTAAAGGCACGAACATTTGTATCTTCAACTCCTACGTTAGGTGCTAATATACTCAATTCCTTTGCTTATTTGAGTGCAAAAAAAAGTATAGGGGCTTATCTAGGTAAAGTGATAAAGTTCAGGATCTTTTTGGTTATTTTAGCCTTAAACTAATTTTCAAGAACTTTATTCAAGAGATAACATCAAACTACACAGTGAATAGGTATGTGCAGGTAAATCCTTATCCATCAGAAAGTAGAAGGAAGCTTCCTAATGTGGTTTTCACTTTCTTTAATTCAAAGTTCAAACAAAAACAGATTAGAAGGGGGAAGACCAGTGGGATAAAAACATTCAAGGGAAAACTCCATATTTAATGTCTAGGTAATCAAAACAGAAACATCTATGTCCACAGATGGAGCCTTAGCAACTAAAAACAGAAAATAAAAACAAAAAGCCTAGTATATAGAAGATCATAAGAACTTACTTTGGAGAAAAAAGATCCGCAGAGTTCAGGAGCTCGATACCAACGTGTTGCTACATAATCCTTAATGGATTAAACAAGTTTAATTTAGCATAACAGTTTTAGAGGATTACCCTCTAAACGTGGAAAACAAAATTTAAAGCAAAATTTGCATTTTGATAAATACTAAGGAATCATGAAAGCAGAAGCTTAAAGAATAAGATCTCATGACAGAACAACATACAGTCCAAAAGATCGCCGATGGGGCATCATTAAACGATACTCGTGCAAGCCCAAAATCACATATCTTCAACTTACAATCAGCATTAGTAAGGATGTTCTTGGGTTTTAAATCTCGATGGAATATATTTGCTGCAGGAATATTTTAAAATAAAAATCAATAAAAAATCCAAGGAGTGGGGGCAGTAAAGCATACTGATAAAACAGACCTGCATGTATATACTTCAGACCGCGAAGAAGCTGGTATAAAAAAAACTGATGGTGCTCAGGAGTTAAGTCATCGTTAAACTTAATTACTTGATGAAGATCAGATTCCATCAACTCAAAAATTACATAAATATCTCTAAATTCTCGTCGCGATGGAGGGAGCATAATATGTTTTATCTGTACAACATCTTGATGACGAAGCAACCGTAGCAACTTGACTTCTCTCAAAATCCGGGTTGCGTCAGAGACATGATCAAATACATCGTTAATCTTTTTTATTGCAACTTTTTCACCAGTGTGGGTGTCAATTGCAGAAGCAACAACCCCATAACTTCCTTTTCCAATGACCTCTTGAACTTGATATCGGTTTGCATCTCCATACTCGGTGAAAAAATCTTTTTCAAGTGCACCCTGTATTGCAAAATTGTTTAGATACATCAAAACTCATATTTATAGAGGACAAAAGCCAGAAGATTACAGGAAATGCATGTATTGAAAACAAATATATTTTACTTGTATTATACTATCATTATAAATTTTCTACCTAAACATGGTCAATTGAAAATTTACAGGAACATAGATGCAGCTTCTCAATAACAATTCTATTAGGCTTCCAAAATGACAGTAAATGTGTTCTCTTCATACCTCTCAGCAGCTGTTATAAATAAATATATGCACATGGCATTGCTCCTTATTTTTCCATCAACAAAATTCAGCTTTTCCTAGCAGATCGACAACCAAGACACAACTTGGTTTCCAAAATTAGAATAAACAGAACAATCTTTGCATGCTGAAAATATGAAAGAATCATAGCATCTTTGAAATAACAGAGTATGAAAGAATAAAGTAAGTACAGAGAAAGCTATTTAGCTACCAATTCGAACATACGTGGAAAAAGGAATAACGGATCATTCAGTAAGAAGTTCTGTAAATAAATAAATGCAACGACATTTGCAATCCTTCAGCACTAAATTAGCATGCAAAATAATCTTCTAAAATTTTGGCTCATCTTACGGAAGTATCAAAAGAAAAGATAAAAGAAGATCGCAGCATTCAAAGAACATCATTAAAAAAATCTATGTTCACCTATAAATTAAAAGCAATTTGAAATAAAGTTCTCGGATCTTCTTTTATTAGGAAAATAAATAAATGAAACTAACTCTTTGAGAAGGCAAATCAATGATTAGTACAAAGCATGCGAAGCAATGATTTAGCTCCTTAGATGAAGAATCTCTCCGTAATTTTCAGTCTCACATTAACGAAAACACTGCAAGCAATGAAACTAAGCAGTTGAGATCTGGAAAAAGGAAAAGTACCTTTTTGTGAGAATCCATAGAAGAAACAACGAAGTAATGGCGCTTAGGAACTTTGACGAGCCTCAAGGAAGAGAAATCGAAATCTTGAACAACAGGATCGGTTGTTATTTCTTGTGATTGTTGCTTCTGAGTGAGGCTGACAGTAGAGGAAGAGCTATCATTGTGATCGATGATAACGGTATTCTGATTATTCGTAGAAGAAGAAATTAAATTGCGACGCTGCAACCAGCGACGAACACCGTCAACGAGAGTTCCACTTCCCCCCATGTACTCTTTGTTTTGCTTTAGATTCACAGCCAACTAATTCTAGCATTTCCCGTTTCCCATTTTCTCTTCTATTTATTCATCTCTTGACCCCAAATTAAATTAAAATATTCCATTTTTTTCTTGTTAAACAAACTTTAATATTTTTTTATCATTTTTTATTTAATATATATCGAATTGGGTTTCAGTCATAAATATCTTGCCTGAGTTCTAACTTCATAATATTTATGCGGTTTTATTAGATTTACTTTAATTTAAGTCGAGCCATATTTTATTTATTAATTTATTTATTCGTACATTATATTGATTCATTATGATTATATAAATGTATTAATTATATTATTTATTTTATTTAATTCGATTATTATTAATAGTTGATATAATATATGTGAGAACATAAAATCGAACGTATTTGTGTATTTAAACACTACGTCAAATATTATATATAATATATTTTATTAAAACAAATCGATTAAATTGTAAATATGTATATACTTATATCATGGACGACTTAAATCTAATTCGTTAAATAATAGTTATTTTTAATTTTATTGAGTCTATCGCTCTTTTAAAATTTTTGACCTAAACTATTTATGCAATGCGTATAAACATGCTTACAATTCGATCCGTGTATTTTAAATATACTCAACATCGTATTCAAATTGGAACTAATTGACTAACAATTATAACCTCTTGAAATTTATGAACCCATTTAGAACATGAGAGGTAATTTGGGGGGATTCGGTGAATTAATCCTTTATATTTTCCACTAATGTTTTCCGTGACTTCAAATATTAAAGAACACGAAGATTTTGTTAATAAACTCTTAAGATTAATTAAAACTGTTTTGTACCAAATGAATTACTTGAAATTTAATCTTATGAATTAAATATCCATTCAATTTCCTGTATTGTTAATCAGTATTTCATTTTTAATAACTAAACAAATTATAACTGAAATTTTGCGGAAGTCAATGAAGAAAAATATTTAATAAGTAAATTATTATTCTAATTCTTTTTGTACATTAATAATTTTTGGGGAAAAATATTAGGCTTCTTTGGATTAATACTTCAATTTTCTTCGCTTTTTGTTATTATCCTTCGTTTTATTATTAATTTCAAAAATTATTTTAAGATTTCATAATACATTACATTTTTAAATTATTTAATATTTATATGTTATTAACTTTATTAATAAAATTTTAAAATAATAAGAATAAATTTCTCTAACATTGCGCACAATTGCTTGGTTTGAAATAGGGGTCTAACGAAGCCGACGCGCAGACCAGCTCATCGCGTGCAGGTTTGCTCATATTTTTTCTTAATTAAATAAAGGGTAACGCCACCGAATTATGGATGTGATTTTATTTTGACCATTAAATTTTATGTTAATGATTAATAAATTTAAGAGTAAATTATATGAATGGTCATTAATTTTAGTAAGTTTTCTTTTCCCCCTTAAACTTTCAAAGATTATAGATTAATCACTAACATTATCAATTTGTAATAAAATGATCACTAAACGTTTACGGTCGTTAACCTCAACAATGGGAAGCTAAATTGGTCAGTTAAACGTTTACGTGGACTGTTAATCGCCACGCTGGACCCTAAATTTTCTCATTTTCTTCCAATAATTCCTCTCTTAAATCCAAGTATTCCTAATTTTTTTCTATTAATTGCTAGCTGTAAGATCCACACATTGATGCAAAGAACTTTCCCCTTACAATCACATATGAGGTACAAAGCATTAGTCTTTATTACTTTAAAGGAATTATAAATAAATCAAAAGAACATTTCAGATGTCTACAGCTCGTGCATTCCTCTCTTTTTTCTTTTAATTAATCAATAAGATCCTATGTTTTCTCCCTTTTTATCTCACAATTTTCTCTTTCTCTCGCCAACTTTTCTCTCAAATACTCTCTCTCAAACAGGTTCTTTCTCAAACGAATGGAAGAAGAATGGGATTTAGGGAATGTGTGTTATTTTTAATATATTGTAATATTAGTTGAAGAGCTGGTCAACAGAGACTCTAACGTGGCGGTCAACGATCCATGTAAGTATTTAACGGTTCAAATCAACTTTCCCTAATTGAGGATAATGACTGATAATGTCGATTGATCATTTTATTACAAATCGATAATGTTAATGATCAATTTGTAGCTTTTGAAAGTCCAATAGGGAAAACAAAAACTTACTTAAACTTTAGTGACCATCTTTTTATTTACCCTAAATTTAATAATAAGTGAATAAAATTTAAAATTAAAATTAAAATTAAATTAATAATTTAACTAACAAACTTTAACTAAAAATTTCATTTGATTTAATTTAATTGAATCGACTTCGAAACTATTCAAAACGAGTTGGGGAAGGTGTCAGCAATTGCGTGGTTGCAATCAGCCGCAAATTGGGGGTGTGGGCGTATGGCTTGAGTACACGTTTCCATCATAATAGGCTCAACGAAATCGAGAAAACCGAAAAATCGACACGAATCGAGTAAAACGGTTCGGTTCGGTTCGGTTTGACTTTAAACGGTTTGGTTTTTGGTTCAGTTTAAAGACTTTATTTTTTTAATTCGGTTCGGTTCGGGTTTTCCATATGGAACCCATTTGTTCCATATTGAACCGAATAGGCAATTTTTGTAAAAAAAATATAGTTTCAAGTGATTTTTTCATTGAAAAACCGAAAAACCGAACCGAAAAACCCGAACCGTTAAAAAAACGAACGAACCGATAAAACCGGTTTCGTTTTTTTCGGTTTTTTAACTATTCGGTTTCGGTTTCGGTTTAAATATTGAAAAAACCGTTTATTTCAATTCGGTTCAATTTTTTATAAAAAACCGAACCGAATACACCCCTAATCATAACGACGAAAGTGAAATCCATAGACTTCTCCATTTTGTAATAATATTCATCGCTATGATTAACATTAGGGATAAATTTAATTATTTTGACTAATTAGGTAAAATATTTAAATATGTTCGTGTTAGTATAAATGAAAATGAAATATTAACTTTCCAAAAAAAAAGAAATTGAAATATTAATAAATTACGAACTTTAGTTGGACGAATCATTGAGATCTTGTTTAGGTTTTTTATATGGAAAACATTGGGCGCGGGATCACATCATGAGAATATGCAATTCATGCAAAAAGCATATGGTTGGGTATAAAGGGTAAATTATATCAGTATTCATTGACCTTTAGGGGTGTTTGGTTCAAGGATTGTGGGATTTCTATAGGATGAGAATCCCACATTTCCATGTTTGGTTACCGGGAATCTCATTCCCGGTAATATTTTATTACCAATAGTAGATTTTTTGGGCTATATTACTGAGAATGTCATTACCTTCTTTCCCTTAGGTATTGTAACATTATCGGAGTTTTGGACTAAAATGTCCTTAAATTTTTATTTTTTTTTCAAAAATATCATTCTTCTGTCATTGAATAATAAAAATTCTACGAAGGTTAAATTACAAATTTATCTTAAATTATTTTAGATTTACAAAAAAAAATCTATAATTAAAATTTTATATGAAGTTCAGGGATTAAAATTTTTTTTACCCTTTCATTAAACATTTTTTATATTTTTAATTTTGTAAAAAATTATATAAATATTATGAATTTAATTTTTTAAAGAAAATATATAAATATTTTACAATTTGTAATATTATACAAATATATAATAAGGACAATTTGGTCAAATATACATTCCAATAATCTTTTATTCCTTTAACCAAACACGGTAATCTTACATTCCTGCTAAACCAATCAAACACAAAATACAACATTCTCTGTAATCCTATTCCCTGGTAATCTTTTATTCCACTGGTAATCTTACATTCCGTGAACCAAACGTACCCTTAGGGTTTATCATGTTTTTATCACTGAACTATAGAAAAACTTAATTTTGTCACTAAATTTTTTGAATTATTTTTTTTTATCATTGAGTTGTTAAATTATTAACAATAAGATGACGTGATATTTTGGTGCTAACGTGGAAGTTAAAATGTATATATATTTTTTGTGTGCTAACCTAGTATTTTTCTACATCATCTTTTTCATCAATATTTGGGAGCTTTTCTTATTTTCAGTCGTTGTAAAAAACTCTAGCTCTTTAGTATTTTTTATGATCATCCTAGACACTAATAAAATCGTCTCATTGTCCTCTAGCACTCTATAGATTTACATTTTCTAAAAAACTTATTTAAAACATATGAAATTAAACTAAAAAAATCCACCATTTATGGTGGTTTCGTGCTTTCTAAAATTTGAGGAATTTGGAATTTTCATTTAAAAATCTGAATAGAAAGAAGGATTCTTCTAAGAAGATGATTATCATATCATAAAATCTTATCAAACAATTATCGAATGAGAGTATAGCAATAAAGGTTAAAACTTTATATGGATTTTGATATTGATATTTCTACTAATGTAAACCAACAATGACACAATGATTAATAAATGGTTGCAACCAAAAGAGTTGACATTTTTTTTTTGAAAAGAAACTAAACTTTATTATCGAGAAGAGACACAAGGGTACATGCTTACTTTAAAAAAATCTCTTTAATCTTAATCGAAAGAAAAAGAGTGCAGTGTGCAGATGCTAAAAATACCATCCAAGTCCAAATACAGCCAGCATGTGAATCAATCTCTGGTCACTACAAGATTTGATCCAGCCTTGTCCAACTAAAACCCCATTGCTGCAGAAACCAGAATCACAGGAGCAACAACTTCACACCAGAAACTGCTGCAACTTTCTTTCCCGCTACCATGGAAAGCAACACACGAGACAGACTGGGAAGCATAAAACAGACGAACAAAACCACGCATATCATCTCCCATGGCTAAGCTGACCATTTTAACCAAAAACAAAAGCAACCGTCACTGCAATTAAAACAAAGAAAACAACAGCACCTCCGCTCTTACTCGCTTGCCTTCACCCATAAAAACGTGTGGGATCTCCGGATCCCCTCTTGTGCTAGCTCGTGTTCTTCAAGGTTCCTCTCTCTGTGAGCAAAACTCACCCTCCATGAACGCATAACACACAACTCGTCACAGTTAACAACTATCTCTACAAAAGCAGGAGGA